CGGCAACTCCTTTTAGGGCAAGAGATCGTCACAACCGGGTAACGTGAGTTGGCGCAGCGATTATTAGGTCACGTTTTCCGACCTTACATTATGTAAATATTATAATAAAAGCATACATGTAATGTATATAATTTCAATGCTATTCAAATTGCATAAATCTACACCTCAAATCTCTAAATCTTAGCTTAATTATCTCATTACAGTAAAAGCTTCCACTCATCAATGAATGACTGCACGTCTATCAAAATTTTCCTCTCCAAATTGTACTATATCTCCATTCATGTTATTGCCTATTTAAATATCATCTAAACACATTAAAAAAAACAAAAATAGTCCGTCAATACAGTTCATTCCAGATTAATCTTTAAATTTTCATTCTACGTTCATATATGTTAATTAAGCAGGCCATGAAACGACTCCTTTTTTTTACTTAAGCTCTTAATTATAATGTTTGTTTATCAATTTCATACAGTTATTTAAAATTCAAACCTTTCTATCTATTTAAAAGCTGTAAACATCCGGTTATCACTAATTATCACTACCCTTATGTTGCCCTTTTGGTTTGTTGCTTCACTAATTGATGCTTACTACTTCCTAATAAAGTATAGTCATTCATTACCCTTGACGATTCTTGTAGACACGATTAAACAGGTTATGAAACATCTGATTTTTTTTTTACCTAACCTCTCCTTTATACTGTTTGTTTATCAATTTCGTACAAGTACTTAAATATTCAAACCTGTGCTTTTTGATTTCTGCATATACTGAAAAGCTGTAGACATCCGGATAACACTGATTATCGCAAACTCTTTTATTTACTGCTTATTAAAAATTGCTGCTCCTAATAATAATTTTGTTCATAGATCTCGTGCAAATACTTGAAATATTCAAACCTGTACTATTTAGTTGCCGCATATATCAAAAAATTCTAGACATCCAGATGACACCGACCAATTATCTCAAACCTTATGTTAACCCTTTTGCTTTACTGCTTCGCTAATTTACTGCTTCGCTAAAATAATCGCTGCTCATTACCTCCTAATAAAGTAAAAGTTATTTATAAACCTTTGTCTAATTCGTAATTTGTCTAATTCGTAAAAATCACATAATACGATATTATTATTCCTATAGACACACTAAATAAAGATATTAAGTTTCATACAATTTTTTTTAAAGAAATATAACCACATGTAATTTCTAATTCAAGAAAAATGACCTATTTACCTCATTATTCTCATATATCAGTATTAATCAATGCTACTATCAATACGATACAATAAATTCAACTAATCTATTTCTGCGCGAACATCATAAACACTTCTACATCTATAAAAAGATTACTTTCCCAAAATCATTAGCTCTTCTTAAAAAAAAGTACAATCACTTGCCTATATTTCTCAACAAAAATTTATTCATTTCATTATGTCCTCAATCTTTATATCATTTTGTTTCATTAAGACCATTAGTGGAGGCGACAAGTATGTCTCTGGAACTGCCTTATATCATATCAATAATGACGACAATACTTTCAGAGAAATTACATTTAAAGGCTTTTGTGGAAATTCTGAATCTTTAGTAGCTCTCTTCGACAAAAATTCTATTATTTTAATGATTGGGCGTTATGTATATGAAGGAGATACAGAATATGTATAAATAAAATATTACCGTTATCTTCTATCGTTATAATAACATACAATGAGCTAATTAGCTAACTATCTTTATTTTTATCAGATCTCTTTAGTCCAGACTGTGTCCATATCATTTTTTGATAACGAGTATATTCTGACTCCTCCTGATCTTCCTCGCTCATCGCCTCTGCTTCTCTTTTCTGCTCCTGTCGTACAAGGTTCTTATCATCCTGCCACTGACGGAGGAAGAGAAAGTTTTATGCTCTCAAAGCGCTTATACAATGGTGTTACAAATAACAATCATGTTCATTCTAATGTCATCATCTCATACTCAACCGATAATAAACGTTACACTGCTATGAAAAATAATCTACAAAAAACAGTTTTATCAGTCATAGGAAGAGTAAAGATTGGATCATCAAAAATTCCACATATCATCGCTTCCGATATTGAGTGGACTTATTTAGTTAGCGAATCATCACAATATTCAGGTCAGTATTTAAAGTCTTTATCGGAATATGCATTATCCTAATTGAAACTTTATTCTGCAAACATATTTTTTTGAAATCTCGGATATATCATCAGTCAACATATTGCGCGTCTTTTTTGAGTTTTATTATATGTTTACAAAATAATTATCAGCCTTTTCCGCATGTTAAACCAAATTGAATATTAAAACATTGATTCAGGTATTTCAAGCAAAGACAAACCGAAATCTCGCGAAGAATTAGATAACCAGTTAGATAGTATTGAAGAGAAATATGCTACTCTTTCCTCCCAGCCTCTTCAGAAAAAACCAAAGCTCACCTCACTTCCATTGTTTGGTAGAAAGGCATCGAATGAAAAGCAACCGTCTGTTAATTTTGTGGATGCCATTTCACAAATTTGTGCCAATGAACGTCATTCAGGACCTACCAATGTAGATCCTACGCCTGAAACACGGAATACGTTACTCCATCTGACGCTGATATCGAAATTACACCTCTTTCTAATATCGAGGAAGATGCTAATATTACACCTACTGATAATATTGAACCAATTACGCTTATTTCTACCAATCCATCTACTTCTCAACGTAAAGGTACTAAACGTTCAAAGTCTACAAAAAAGTAGACTTCATATATTATCATATAGCTTTTTCCAATTTTCTTTAAAAAAGTTTACATACTCCAATTAATATCTTCCTGTATTAAATACTTTTTCTGAATTGCAATAAACTTACTTCTTAAAAAAAGAATTATATCATATATTAGCATAAAATTGAATTTTGCTGCTTTCAATAATTATACATATCATCTTATAATGATTCCATTATATATTAAAGAAAATTTTACTCGCACTGAATTGCAGATTTTACTAAATACCTTCCATTAATAGCATCATATTTATTTTAGTCCGTATTTATTCATATTAAAATCATAATGTACCATTCTTACGTATCCAAAATAGGGATCATCAAGTAATGCATCACGTGATTAACAATTAGTAATCAATTTAGACTACCATGCCTTACCTCAAAAATTATTATTCACTGTATTACGATATATAACAAACCAATTTTAATAACTATATGCGCTAGACCTTTTCTAGATTACATAGATTACAATAAATCTATTATTTTTTAAAAAAATATCGTATACGTATTAATTTAAATTAAATCTTATTTTTCAAGACATATTCCTTATAATAATTCCACTATAAAGATTAATAAATAAAAAAACATTTGTGATACTTTAATATTATTTGCATCGACCATAGATACTTACTAAATACCTCCTCTCGATATTGTCAGATATATATTAAATAAAATCAACAAATTTACTCATATAAAAAATAGATGTACCTCATTATCCTTGACCAAAATAAGAAAAAAAGCTCACTATTTACCTGATAATAAATAAATAGATAAATAATTATAACATATAGTACTTATTCCAAATCATTCCAAACCTATCTAACAACGTATAGTGCTTCTTATAATTGCTTCTCAAAGTCATACTATAATATTTATACAGCTTCTATTTTGTTAATGCCATATAAAATAAAATAAAAAATTTTATATAAACTCTCAAAAATTCCTTCGTGACTCTTTAAATAGATTCAAATAAACAATAACCTATTATATAGTTTTAAACCTCTGTTAATATCTAAATCTCAAAAGATTTACAATGTTCAATTATAATATTCAACGCCTGCACCTTACCTCTTTTACCGAGATAGTACATGAATTCGACGAAACTACCGTCACTCCTCCTTTAGATACTGTATTTACTTCATATACTCAGAGAAACGAAATTAATCAAAACTTACCAAATGCTCCTACATCTAATAACTCTGTAACTGTTCCTTCATGTGGTGAACCTTTTAATCTTTCATACCAACACTTAACTCCTGCCCTTCAGCGTCTTGTATACAAATTTCAATCCAAAATTTTACTTGATTACTCTAGCATCCCTTGTGCTTACTGCTCAATGCTCATGATTTCTTCCTCAGTCTGATGGACAAATTATGATGAAAACGCTTCATATACCTTACCTCAAGCTTTCTCAATTCCCGTACATACTCGAATAAACAATAGAAATGTTGTTAAAGTTGCTGTTTGTAGTGGCTGCAAAAATGAAAAAACCTGTAGATATCCACCAATACTATCTCACATCCCGTCTCAGATTCATGACGTTCCTATGATTCATAGAAAGTACCTTTCTCCTATTTTTATGAACTGTTCTTTAGGCAGAGCCGCTGGTACAAACTGCTACACCAACTATCGCCATCTGAATAGAGGTATCGGTTTATCTCATAACTACAGAACACTTCACTTATATTCTGGACTAATTGGTGCTTATTTAAATGTGCACGAGCCACCCAATTGGTTTCATAATTCGTTACTCCCTGCATCTGAGTGGCTCAAACATGAAAACTACCTTATTCAACAATATGCATCAGATATCACTATCTCTAGATCTTCTCCAACAACCCCTGTTCATATTCCCTTACCTTTAGCCTGACAATCAATCCCGTTTACTAGCCCTTCTACGTCTACATACCATAGTAATCTATCCGATGACAGACCTCAACTGCCTGATTTAGTCGTTCCCAATAATTCTTTCTCGCAAGAAATTCATAATGAAGACGCTCACTATTCAAGGCTACTAGCTGGATCTTTTAATTGTGATATCAATCTTAATACGCCTATCGCATTTAATAATCCAAACCTAGAAGCCTTAATGTTTCCTGACCTATTTCCGAATGGTCGAGGACACTATGAAGACATAAAATGCCTTCTAAATTTTCAACCATCCATCGATACCTATTGAAAATATTTAAAGTTACGACTTCTTCGTCCCGATCCCAGATTCCATTTACACTGGTATTGGCCTCATTGGTCCTACCTTAATTTAGAAAAAAAAAAAACTATCAAAATCAACATCGTATATTAGCTACTAGAAACGTTAACCGTGAATCTCACCTGACAAGAGCCGATCTAATTGCTAGTAGCTCTTATCAGAATTGAACTATAATAGACGAATCTATTACAACTACAATCCCAACTTTCCTTAGAACCGCCGCCCCTTTCTTCCAGCAAAAACAATATCAAGTTAACACGATGATTAATTCATACGGATTACCTCAAATTTTCTATACTTTAACCATGGCCGAAGATAAATGGCCTCATCTACGTGAAATATTAAGGTCTACTGATAATAGAGACACATTGTCTACTAACCATCCACTTCACACTTACTTATTTTATCGTAATTACCTCAATAATATTCAGAATAAACTCTGGAAAAACCCGTCCTTATCTAGATGGGGTAAATGGGAACATTTTTTTGAACGCGATGAATTTCAAAACCGTGGAACCATACATACCCATGGTTTTGCATACATGGAAATCAAAATTCCCGAATTAATCTCTCTAAATGTAATCCGTGCTGATATCCCTGATCCCACAACTGAGCCTGAACTATATAACTTAGTATTATCATTCCAAATTCATCGCTGCGATCAACGATGTGGTGGTCAAGGTCCTAATGGTCAGCCGTGCTCAAAAGGCTTTCCACAACCTTTATCTGAGAGAACATACTGTTGCCCAACTTCGCTACGGTACATATAATGTCAGACAAAAGAAGAGGACAGAATGGTAGTTCCGTATAACCCTGAAACTTTATTGATATGGTAGGGTCATATTAATTTTCAGTACATTATCTCTACTGGCTTCGCTAAATATATAACAAAGTATATCACAAAATCTGAGCCATTAGAGTTATTTGACATTGATAAGACTGATAGTTATAGAAAACATATAATGACACACAGATTAGAGGCAATGGAACTAATCATTCTCTTACTACAATACCCTTTAACAAGATGCTCAGTATCAGTGCATTACCTCCCATCCGCCCCTTCTGAATTTAGAATTAGATCCGTTAAACCGATCTACTTATTGCAAAATAGAAATGACAACGGTACCGATGGCGAGCAGGATGACGAAACCTCATACTGGGATGATGCCAACGACAAATACTTCGATCATCCTGATCATACACGATTACATACCCTACCTACTTTCAGAACTACACTTTCAAGTCTAAATCGCCTAGCCAAACTTCGAGGCTATTTCACACACGTAACAAAAAAAACAAAATAGTTGTAGAAAGAAGAACACCAGTCCTATTAAGATTCACTGATTACAAAATAGAGAATGGTGAACCATTTTTCTTCCAACACCTCATCATGAAATTCCCCACATGATCAGAACAAGAATTGTTAGGAGGACATTTAACATACAGAGATCGCTTCCAATCTGTTTTTCCTATTAGATATGCCCAAGCTATTGAATCAATTAATCGAAGTTATATTACTCAAAGAAATACCTTGTTAAATACATATACTTCTCTAATAAACTCTCTACTAAATGAAATCCGAAATCAAGAGTTATCTACTCTACTATTCAACCAATTCATTTCTTTAGAAAAACACTTACCCCAACCTGATACTCATTCACTTTTAAATCTAGACACTAAGCAATATAAAAATTATAATATATTATGTAATGTTTGGGAAAAATAATTAATAGAAAATACCCCTATTTTTTCTTAACCGGTCCAGCTAGAACCGGTAAAACTTTTATATTACTTCAATTAATCCTATACCTACAGTCAAAACTTAAAACTTATCTCATAATAGCACCTATGGGAGTTGCTGCTCAGAATATAGGTAGAGTAGCAAAAAAGTAGTTTAAAGCTTTTTTTACCTATATAAAACAATGATCATTAAAGTCCGAATACTAATTTAAATAATACTCACCAGTCTTTTAACTTATCTTCACCTATTTTTAATTACGTAATAAAAAAAAACATTTGCCGTCCCTAAATATAGGAGGAAAAACAATACATTCGTTGCTTAAAATAAGATTTATTGATGGTCATTATGAAACTTTAATTCACTCTGACCCCGAAAATGAAAGAAAATTAAAAGAAGTTGAAGTACTTATATTCGATGAAATATCAATGGTTGATGCTGAACTATTTACTTTTATCAGTAATATGTTTGCTAAAATCCATAATAATTACCTTATTTTCGGAGGTATTCCAATGCTAGTCATCGGCGACCTAGCTCAACTACTGCCAGTCCGCCCACTTCCAGTTTTTCTTTCTCCTGCGTGGCAGACATTTTACCCACTGTTCCTTACTACCCCACAAAAACAACGAAATGACTTGAATTTCTATAATATTCTGCAAGAAATACATGTTGGAAAATTATCAAATCTAAGTAAATCCATTATTGAATCTAAAATAGATCCCAATATCTCTCCCGCTAAGTTTTTCAATACAACACATATAGTCTCAACCCGCCAAGCGGCAAACAGTATAAACAACTTACTTTGCTGCAATCTACCATTAGATAGTATTGTAGTGAACCAATTATTTCTAAATCAAAAGATATCCTGAATTCTGAAATCTTAAATACCAATCATTCTATATCCCAGTTTAAATACATGACAAACTTACCGCAATTCCTACACTTACAAGAAGGCGCTGAAGATGTGTTAACTACCGGAGAATACGCTAAAAATAACTATACAACTATCTTATAACACTACACAAACCAAC